GTGACACAAAGAAATTAATGGCGGACGAAAATAAATCGTAAAATTTTGGCCCTTCCCTTTCGAATATTAGAAAGATATTTCAGTGAGAGGTTCTTAATGTGTTCAAGATTATTTCAGCAAAGTTCCAGCTCGAATGAAAGAGTTTTAATTTTGGAACGATTTTCGTCCAAGTGGCCCTTTAATTGATAATTGAAACCTAGAGATTATAGTAAATGTAGGCAATTAAACTGAGAAAAGGTGACCAATTAAACTAAAAGAAAATTTAAAATATCTTATTTAGATTTAGATGTTTTAGACTTGGAAGTTGTTGATTTTTCCATACGATTGGCCAAATAAACTAGCTTGCCTGAATTACTTTTAATTCTCTCTTTTAAGTTATTTGAAGGAGGAGGTCTATTAAGTATACTGTATTCTCGCCTTCGGAAGTTTATCATGCACGTCTTATACAAAACATTTCACACGGCAACTCGCACATGCCTGTTAGAAATAATTGCCTTTGTCCTGTCTATTGTTTTCCAGGAGTTGCGATGCATCAATGATTTTCTTCTGATATCCGCACACAATGCAAGAGTCTATAATGTTTATAACAAGCTAAATAAGCTGATTAGATGGTGTGAAAAATACTTAAAGCACTTATAAATGACGAGCATAAAAGGTGCGTGTAAAAACTTGACAGTTTATTGACTTCGGCCATAAACTGTCAGACGACGAAGCAGTGCAGTTTCGTAGAGCTGGTAACTTGCGCTTTTGAAGTCCCTTCTACCAAAATAAAACGACCAGTTCGCTTCGAAAATGAACCATACATTAACACAAAAAGGTACGTATTTTCTTAGATTCGTAATATTACTTCTTAAATTCATGACTATGAATTGCTTTTTTAAAGCTTTCACGTTTGCTCAACTTTCATTTTTGACTCGTCATGCATTGATTATTGCAATCCTAAGTCTTAAGTTTTAAAGCTAACTGTTGCCTTTTTCTTAATATCTTTTTTTTTTTGAAGTCAAAGTAAAGCGAACGTACAGGCCAGTATCGTATAACGGTTCTCGTGGCAAAACTCTTATACCCAACCAAAGGCAGATTCACAGAAGCTCAGAAAGAAAGGCTTTTGGCTTTCTTCAACACGAACTGCTGTCCGAACAATACAGAAAAACAGGAGCTTGCAAGTGAACTAGATATGGAAGTGCAAAAAGTAGCGGTACGTATATTGATTTTTAAGTTTTATATCCAGATTCAGCTTCAAACAATATTATGAACCTATTTATTCCAAAAACCCTTGTGGGTCTGATCGAGATGCGCTGTCTGCTGAGACTAAACGGAATTTTTGTGCTTTCGTGTGTTTTTTTTTTTTTTCCGTTGCGTAAAATAGGATTCACATTCCTAACTCAAAGACCTTGCTTCTTGGCCTTCGAATTCCAATCTACAATTTTTTTTTGCGTAAAATAGGATTCACATTCCAAGCTCAAAGACCTTGCTTCTTGGCCTTCGAATTCCAATCTACAATTTTTTTTTTGCGTAAGATAGGATTCGTTTTCCAAACTCAAAGATCTTGCTTTTTGGCCTTCGAATTCCAATCTACAATTTCTCGATTTTCTAGCTTCTTGATGCATGGTTTTGCCAGTCATTGAGTTGCCATTATATTTTCCTTATGTAACATTTTTTTACCTCGACATTAAACTGCTAGCAGAGATCCATTTCGTCTTTAGCTGACTGAGTAAGAATTACTCATCAGCCTGGCAGCTAATTTAAAGACGAAATGGATATCTGTTAGCGCTAGCAGTTTAAATGTAAAAAAAAAACCAAAAAACTGTCATGCAAGGAAAACTGATACTAATGCAAGTATTACTTGGATATGTGTTGATGACCTTTAAGGTTCCCTGGCGGTAACGATTCGTGCAGAGAACCGGAACACAAATCGTTTGGCAAAAGCCAGTAAAAAAAAGCGTAATCGGCGAACACAATAAACAAAACCTGATTTAATTTCGCCTTTGAAAGCTCGTCAACCCTAAGTTCAATTTATAGTATATTTTAAAATATTTTTTTTGGAAAACGAAAGAAGAATTTCAATCTCCTGAGAATTGAAAACCTAGCTATTGAGCTAAATTGAGCTCAGTGCCGATTTGCTGCAAGAGGCCTATTGCACGAACTCAAGTAGTATATTAATTTAATTGTAGTTATCTATTATATTTTCCCCAGAGATAGTTTACCAACCGTCGCTCAAGACTGAGAAGAGCTGCCCTACACAAGCGATTCAGCCAAGAAACAGCAACCACTACGTTGTCAGCGGTTTTCGAAGAATCAAAAAATCACCTCGTTTCCATGACGACAGCCAAAAAGCCGTGCCAACAAGGACAAGCTTTTGAATTATCACGACCAAGTCAATCATTCATGCCCTCATACAGAAACGCGGGTCTTTCTTTGTCACATGAGAATAACAGCATCCCACAAGGTCAATTTGTTGATGATGTCATAAGTGTACAGTACCGTAGAACCCGTCTCGTTGCTACTGCGCATGACTTCCCTCCACAGCATGCTGGTAGTACTAGTGCCTTACTTGCTATTCCGCTATCACATCAGCAAGGATTTGAACATCATCCTTTTCAGTGTTTAAGATACTGTGACCATTTGCTTCAGAAAAGGTTTGGCCGGGACTGGATTGACCAAGTGAGCTCAAGGGAAGACTAGTAAAATAACCATGTATTTGTAACGAACAGTTTCTATCTAACACGGTCATCATATTCGTTACGTTAACTGACATTAAAAGTTATGTTTTCCATAATGCAAAACTTTTATTACRACGAGTGCTAAAGACTGTAAATGTGAAATAAAGTTTTTCTTCAATTTGACTTGATTAATGCACTTGACCTTGGTCAGAGGTTTCGGTTTGATGCGTTTGAGTGGTTTGGTTCAAAGTTTCTTCAACTGCATGCCAATGAATTACTCGGTCCATGATTGCACCAGACATATTAAAATAAAGGGCCGTTTAATAAAATTTAAAAATATCACTTTATTTTTTGTCGTTCCGAGCAAAGCTTCGCGGTATTTTTTGAAAAAAAAAAAAAAAAAAAAAACAACAAAAAACAAACAAACAACAACAAAAGTATTTCAGTTCACGAAACTATTCTCTATTTTTCTTACCAATCATCTGTTAATGCTTAATGAGCAAAAAGGATTTCACTGTTTTTGTTTTTACGCGGTGTTCTAACCCAACGACGAAAAAAAAAAAATCGATTTCACTGTGCCATAAGCCTCGAGGGCTAGACTATGTTGTCATTCGCAGAGCTAAGGCGTAGAAATTTTGGTTGAGAGTGACTGGACAAATGCGGATCAATGCATTGCACCCTAGAATCCATTAAATCACCTGGAACTCCACAGCAACTCATCGTTTTTAACGACTTGTTTATCTCTTTGATCGTGGCCTTGTATTTACCGCGCTTATAGAGTGATTTTCAAAAACCTGTGAAATACATTTTAACGTATTTAGTAACTATTAAATTCTAACTCCTTTGCTTTCTATTGCTATTGAAACTGGCTATTACCATTAAGAAGTAACTTTTTTTTGTGGTTAATGAAAACCACTCTAGCTTCGAACTCGGAAGAACCTGTTGTCAGCAACACTTTGGAACCCGTTTCTATTCGCCTATCGTTCCATATATCCTATAAATATACGGAATGCATAGTTAAATTAAACAATACGAAAGAAGAACGGTGTAAGTGGAACTGCTAAGTTTAGCACGTGATTAGTATGTGATCAGATATTTAGCACAGTAACCAGCATGTGTGCCTGGTGGGTACAAACATGGTCTGGTACCAGTTTAAAACCGTTTCTATAGATCTCCTCCCCTCCAGATAATGTCATGCATCATACATAGCTACGTTTAAAAAAAGAAGAAAAGTGGGATAAATGTGTTTTTTTGTAAATGCTAGCACGTGACCAGCATGTGATCATTGGCTTTGTAGCCCAACCTGTCTGGTGTATGAGCGTGGTCTGGTATTGACCTCACGCGGCATCGATTCTGCATCGATTAAGAAGGATTTCTTGTAAGCACCCAGTTTGAAACCGTTTCTATTTTCCTTCCCTTCCATATCATGTCCTTTGTGATATATTGTTTTATACATTTTAAATCAATACAGATATAAATGGAAAAGAAGAAAATGAAAGTGTTAATGAATAGATTTTTCATTAAGGTTGCCACGTGATTAGCATGTGATTATTAGCATTGTAACCCAGCCTGTCTGTTGTCAGAGCGTGGCCTGGTATTTACCGCGTTATGCATCGAACAAGAAGAACAATTTGTCAGCCAACACACACAGAAATGGCTGGATTTACTCTTTTCTCCTCAGTAAATTAGGTAATGGCAGAGCCTGTTTGCTCGAGAGAGCAAAGCTTCACTGGTTTTCAATTGCAACTCGATAGAAGTAACAGTAAATCTCGCGATATGGATCGAGGAGACTCCTCTTCATGTAAGACTATTTCGCCATGTGATATGATAAGCTAATTCCGTCATTTTTTATCAACTTCCTTCTTATGTTTTTTTATTATTATAGGCGAAGACAAGACCCTAGAGGCTTCTTTTACTCATTTTTCGGGGCTGGAGGCTCTAAATCCCCAAAAGCGAGAACTCTTAGAGGCAAGATTCTCTGCACCCAGGGTGAGAAATGATGTTAAAATCTATCTTGATCTGCAAATTTATACCTTTGATTGAAATATTTTTATTAATAATGAATTCGTGGCTTACACGATCGTTGTACTTCTACCAGTTAATGATGATTTTCTTTTTATAATGGATTTTAGTTTTAGTGTTAGTATTTATTAAGGCTGGCAAAACTGAGATGTAAATAATTGAACAGCCGCCATGTTGGTTGATCTTACAATAGAATCTAATGAGGAATGCTTTATTATCGTCAACCAAGATGGTGGCAATGACATGCGCCCCAAGAATATTAAAGTGCAAGAGCTAGAGTGTTGTAATCTCATAGATGAACATAAAAAGATCATAGCAAAGTTCTTGTATAGTTTTAGGACTACATCACTATACAGTCACTAATTTTTATTAAAATAACTTCTGTTCTCATACATTTACTCTACAAAGTGTTACTATGACGGAATACAAAAGTATCTCAAGTGTCCTATAAGTTTGATCAGAAAGAGCTGCCAATATAAACCTGTATTGTCAGCTCAGAATTACTGTGCAATGTGGTACAAGACTTATTGTGATTTTAAGTCGCCTATGTCGTTTTATATAATGATGGCATTGGAGGAAAATATATTCAGAAATGGCATATTTGTCGCTTTGCGACTTTAGCCAATATGGAATATTTTCCCAAAAAAAAACATCATTATAAACAATGATAAACATTTACGAGATACTGCACCCTGGTTTTGAAAGCAATTTATTAAGCTTTTGATTCAACTAGAGTCTTGATCATAAAAACTGCAGTCATGCGTCTTGATAAACCTTGATGCATGTGACTGCAGTAAGTGGTCAACACCAAAGATCGTGGTATGTTGATTCTGTCCCGATTCAGATCAAGACTAAGTTCTATTCTGATTATGTTTCAGTCTTTAAACCAAGATTCACAGCACAGTAATGCATCATCAGCTGGAAGTGACAATGATCAGGTAACGCATGTAATGGCTTCATCACTGAAAATATATTTGCTTTAAGAATATAACTGTAGTACAATCCTTGGAAACCCAGGGGTAAAGTTCTGTTGCTTGTTTCTCCTTCCCAGAAAAAAAAACCCTTGGGACAAAGTCTGTTAGAGCTTATTCAGTAAGTCCAAATTCAAAATAATAGTAATGGGAGTTTCTCATATAGCGCATTTCAAATATCTCAATGCGCTTTACATTTTTGATCGGTGGAGGACTTTACAGGCTGCATATTAATGCATCACATGTTCGTTTAAAGTTATACTTGTAATGCTTGCACCTGGTTAGCTCAGTTGGTAAGAGTGTCGGTCTGTTGTGCGGTAGGTCGTGGTTCAAGCCTCGGCTGGACCAACACTCTTAATAACTAAGGAGAAGGTGCTGCCTTTGTAATTACGTCTGCAAATGGTTAGACCTTCAAGTCTTCTCAGATAAGGAATTTAAACTGCAGGCCTTGTCCAAAGCCTTCCTAACCTACAGTATAAATGGGGGACATAAAAGAACCTATTGAAGTATTCGTGTGTAGGGGATTGTCTCCCTATCCCAATTTGGAGGCATAACACTAATGTACTAATAAGTCACTCATGATTGTAAGCTCCACGGCTGCTATGATAACATCTTAATATGCTACCCATTAAGTCCTCCACTGACCACAAATTGAAACCCCATTTAGACCATGTAAAATGTGCTATATAAGAACCTCCCATTATTATCATCAATATTATTATTGGTCGACCCCAACGGGTTGACCAATCAGGAAATAGATTAATTCGGACTTCCTGAACATACTCTAACAGAGGTATTTTTTATAGGAGAGAAAGAATTTTACCTCTGGGTTCCCAAGGATGTAGTATAGTTAAACATCATAAGCCTTAATTTTAAGTCTTGACTATGACATCATTACCATATTCCTCTGTCCATATGTCTATTTATAGATTGATTCTGTTCCCCTCATTTCTTGATTTATTCATTCTTCACATCACATTCATTCATCTATCACATTCATTCATTCATCCATCCATCCTGGCATTTCTKTGTTGATTGATTACATGATTCATCCATCCATTTTCTTCCTATCATATCCATCTTATCCCTCCCTTCCTCCTCCTAACCTGATCCTCTTACAAACCCAAACACTCTTTCCTTCATTTACTCACTAAAGGCACAGACACACAGTGCCAAATTTTGTGCAACATTGCAGGCAATGTTGCTGGAGTAGGATAGTTTTCTACTTCAGCAATGTTGAGTGTAATGAATTGCATTGCTTGTCATGGCTTGCAACATCTAATTCATGCAACATTGCGCGCAATGTCCATTTCACATTGCGCACAATGTTGCACTGTGTGTCCGTAGCTTAACTGTATCTCTGATAGGTAACGCCGGGTAGCAGGCCTGAGAAGTATGGAAGCAGAAAGCGTAAAGCACCAATAGAAGTTGACACTCCAAGTATGATTTGATTATTTACATTTAATAGTTTTGAAACTTTTCAGTTATTACAATTAAACCTCTCATCTTAATTGAGCTGCATTCAATAATTCTGTGGTATTAACAGGTCCAGTGATGACAAAGAGTGGAAGAGGTGATCCATCAACAGCCAAGATAACAGAATACTTTAAGGTAGTTCAGTTTTTAACTCGTGGATACGCGAAGCGTAGAAACGAGTTATTGTGAGGGGTCTGAATATGCAAATGTGTCACTCACTCGCTCACTCACTAAGATGTTAGCAGATCGATAATTAAACGTTTAGCGATCGTCTTACGTCATCTAATTACGAATGTTACACGATTCCTATAACAAGCACAAAGCTCTTATACAGTATAGATTACTTTGTTACTTTATATGAGGAAACGAAATGCTGATGTTCCATGTGGGATATATTTCTAGCACTTGTAGATGCCGTGGGGGCCCACTGTGCATGCGCACACTCGCACATAGTTTTATCTTCGAATTATTCATATTAAAAGAATCAAAGATGCAAGTCGAAGTAAAATTATACAATTAACACCTGAAAACAAATTTCAATGAGTTAGGCCTTTTTTGCTAATGTATTTTAAAAAGTAAACAAACACGCTTATTAGGTACAACGTCAACATTTTGATTTTTCAGAAGAACGTAGATCAAGCCGGTTATCGAAAAAAGCTATTTTAATTAGAACTCAAGAAGAAAGTCTGATTTCAAGCTCTGGAGGACTTTATTCTCCATAGAGAGAGCTCAAAGTCACGGCGGTATTCAGGAATAAAATCTCATAAACTCGATCGAGCGAAGTTTTAATATTACTGATCAACAGTTGTATTTACTAAGTGACTTCTTAAGAAAATAATCAATGTAGATGTACGTAGACCGTAGAAAAATAGTAAAAGACGAAAAAAAGAACAATTCCAATGGAGTTTTGAAGGAAGTTCGGCCAGTTTTGTCACTTAAATAAGCCGTTCTGAATAAAAAGTAGATTGATCGCCATGCATTACAAGATTACAGACAGCCGAAGCAATGCTCAGATTGTATGTTGAAATGTGCAAAGGTCTAACGAGAATTCTCTCCAATTAATAATCAATAATTTACCGACTTGGATGAAGAAAAAATAGATAGCATTTCTAAACGAATTTCTATAAAATATTTGCTTAGTTCACAGTGTAAATAAATAGTTTCATTTGAAGTAGGAGCCATGACCCTTGAAGGTCAAGATAAACAGTAATGTAAATCAACACACATAACGCAACGCTTTATGTTGATCGTCCTGATTGTATCATAAACGGCCGATTATCTTGTATATCCAGTTTTGAGCTCGTAGGTCGAATGATTCCTGAAATAAAACACATAGCCCGCCTTTCAAATTGAAAACAGAGAAAGCGTTTTCAAATAGATCTTCTTCCAATTGTACTCTATACTTGACTCAGTTGACTCTATCGAAGTCATAGTTGAAGTTGTCTTTCGTATTAATTGATGTTCAGACAATTTTCAATTCCAAACTCAACAAACTAGCGAAGAACTAGATGTTAAAAGGAAAATAAAGAGGACGATTACTCATCTTACTAGATAAATTGAGCATTCAAAATATTAAATCGAGCGAAATATTTGGAATCCTTTGAGAATGTCAACAAGCTGAGGGCACAGGAAGACCAATCTTCGAAAAGTGCAACAAGTATCCATGAGTTGGCCAAAGGGCATTTGATTTCTGGTTGTTTTATTTCAATTGGCATGAAATTAAAATTTCTCGGTAGTTTAAAAAGTTTCCAGACTGTTTTGTCTAGTAAGCTTCTGATACTGACTTCTGATCAGAGATTGGACCCTTTTAGCTTGTTCATAATGTTTTCTCATTAATTTTCATACCACATGTCATTCCCTATAGTATTATTTCTTTATTTAAGGGTAGGTACGTTAATTATTGGGTTGATGATGAATGGTTGTAGTTCTTCCCCTTTCACTCAGTAACAAATTCATGACCATCTGATAAAGTCAAAAAAGAAACAACCATTATAGAAGACACATGAATATGAGTACTACTAAAACAAAGAACCACTTGACATTCTAAGAAAATGACTAAAAGAAGTCTGTTAAAAACTGTAAAAAAATACACATATTTTATATTATATGATACGCAGCACATTGTCTCCATTACATACATTAGACTGAATTAAGCCAATCCCCCTTTGATTGGGGAGTAAATATATATATATTTAAAACTATTGTTGCTTGTTTGCTTGCTGAAAGTAATGAGGTGAGTAGCATGCTAACCATAAATTTTGCTTGTAACTCCCTCTTGGGCCCAAGAAATTATGCAGCAGCTATAGTATTTAATTGTAATAAACAAGTCACATTATATGAACTGCTATGTTTAATTGTTTGCAGCAAAATGAGCTGACTCCTTCAATGAGCAGGAGCCCTCAAAATCTTCTTCCTTCCTTTAATTCAATGGTAAGATACTGCTGTACTTTCAGGTTTTGATGGGTACAGTTTGTAGATCAATGTCATGTGAATTTGAATGTAAAGTGAAGTGCTGCAAGACATAGTAGAGCTTTTAAGCTGTGACATATTTCAGGGTCCAACTGTTCAAAAGGAAAAAGGCTACATAAAGCAAAACATTTTCTCAGTGATTTAACGTTCATCTGAACCAATAATCCCCTTCACAGTTCCCTGCGCCATCTGGAAAGGTAGCTGTGCCCTTGCATCCAAGCGAGACGAATGGTGAGCTTGCAATAGAGCCATACATGTGAATAATTGTCCAAGGTGTTTAAAAAAGGTCTATTTCATTGCAAGCTCACTGTTGGTCTTGCTTCGATGCAAAGGCATGGCTAATTCAAGATGGCACAGGGAACTGTAAAAGAGATTTTAAGGACTTTGAAATACGAATCCTATCATGAAGAAAAATCAAGGAAAATCTTTTTAAAACTGTAAATTCATTTTGGACTCAGAAGTAGTTCTTAAAAATGAGGTGATGTCACACTTAAAAGCTCTATTGCTTAGTGGTAAAAAGCACAATTCAAAATTGTCAAAAAGAAATCAAAAATGGTCTTGTCATGGTCTTGTAACACATTAAGGCATGGAATATTCAGGGACCGCGGAGCATATTGAAAAGTGGGGGGAGTGGGCTGGCATTTGAAAATTAAGCATATTAAGCATCAAATTTTTGGGAGGAAAAGATTTTTATTCATATCCGTATTTTTTTGCACAAAAAGTGGAGGTGGGGGGGGGGGGGGGGGGGGGG